AAAATACACGTCATCTAGTTATGAAACACGATCTGCTGTCTTTTAGTTTTGCCATGGATGACATTTTCCTTCGTGTTTTAGACAGTACTTAGCTGTTTTTGTTTTGGAATAACATCGACATTGGCGAGTAGCAAAACGAAAATATAATTCAGTGGTAGAGTCATGGAAGTAATAAAAGAAACCCTTTGAAAGAGATGTTTGTCTACTCCAATTCAACTAAACCTCCCGCAAAAAATAGCAATATTTGCCTCTCGGAGACAGCGTACCAGCACAAAGGAACGAGGAAGAAGTGCAAGAAAACAAATCAAGCTGCCATAATTCAGCGACAGTGTTTCATGTACAAACCACATCGCAAACCCTGACCGAAGTCGAAAACAAGCGACATTTCTAAGCAGAGTCCCAGTCCACTGCATCACACCTTTTTGCTCGGACGCGCTCGTTTCACCGCCCAACCTTTATCCGCCCTGGTTGGGAGCAAGCAAGAGAGAATGAGCTATTCTCTCTTGGAGCAAGTCACACGCACAGTTAATTTTCTAAAAGGTGATCCGAGTTCGATTCTCGGTTAAAGCATTTTTCGCTTTTTTCCCCTCTCTAATAGACGCCCCCTGTCTTATAGGCGCCTCCCATGACAATTGCTCCAAAATACTAGGAAATAGCAAAAAGGATAAAAATCATTTAAGTTGTTCAGTTGCTTGCTTTATTAACAAGGGTTTCAGCATATCATCATATATGTTCGATGTGACTAGAGGATACTGACAGAAAATGTTACTTCTAGGAGATTTACCTCTATACGGGCTAGACTTTCCATATTTTCGCCGAAAGCATATTAGTTCTGTTGAGCTTGTTACAGTTATGAGAATAAACACCTCTTACGCCTCCCATTGATTAAACGTCCAATATTGAACCCCTAAACTTAATTATTATTCATTCAATTTATTTCTCCGTTTCTGATTGGCTAAAATCACACGCATAACTCATCATAACCAGCTACTGTTGACCAAATTTGCCAAATTTGGAAGAATCATGTATGCCACAATGAACCGATGACGTCAAAAGTGCAGCAAAGATGAGAGGTTAATGAACCATTAACCGAGAAAACCTGCAGACGAGGTTGAGTTGTTTTGTGGGTGAGAACAAAATGGCGGAACAATCGGCTAAACATTTTACTCGCTTCACGGCGAACTATTGTCTAAAAACATAGCAAAAATAGCAAGAAAACAACTCGAGTACGAGTATATTTTCAGACCCGAGCAGCCCTCTATCTTCTAAACATAGGCGCTGGTAAGCATGTTTTAGCTTGCTGTTAAACTAGGAATCATTTTGAATAAATAATAAAGCAATTATTGAATTTGGCTTTCGTATGATATGAAGAATTATGCAGATCTCGGAGAGTATTATCCACCGAGGCCGACGGCAGAGGTGGATAACACCCAACCTCGTTCCCAGGACTCAGACTCCTCCATCTACTTAATTCTTCATATCCTACTCAGCCTCATTCAATAATTGATAAATAAACGCCCCGGGCGTTTATTAGATCATTTATACGGTATGACTCCTTTTTTCAAAGTCACCACTCTATCGCCTTTGTTTCATGTCACACTTATCGTGCAAAATTGTATGGGAATCCCACGCCATATTAAAATTAATCTGATTAAAACTCTAGTATGGAAGATAAGATACGGATAAGAGTATTAGACGCTATAACAGATATACCAACCTTTCCCTCGCAGTTAAACCGCCTCCTGTCATCCATCGATATATTTAAGGCAAATTCTGGCTGCACTACCAGCCGGATTTTTCCATCTGAAGGATTAAAATCTCTCTTTACTGACAGCCTTTCAAGGATCGAAAAATAACCGTGTTCGACGAGAACATCGACGT